ACCCCCCTACTATCCCTCCCCTAACCTACACCCCCTGAGAGGCTCCAGTGTGTGATGTTTTTCTCCTTGTGTTCATGTGTTCTCAGTGTTCAACACCCACTTATGAGTGAAAACCTGCAGTGTTTGGTTTTCTGTTCTTGTGTTGCTGAGAATGGTTTCCATCTTCATCCATGTCCCTGCAAAGGACATGAACTCATCCTTTTTTATGGCTACATAGTATTCCATGGTGTGTATGTGTCACATTTTCTTTATCCAGTCTATCACTGGTGGGCAGTGGTTCCAAGACTTTGTTATTTTGAACAGTGCCACAATAAACATATGTGTGCATGTGTGTTTATAATAGAATTATTTCTAATCCTTTGGATATATACCCAGTAATGGGATTGCTCGGCCAAATTGTATTTCTAGTTCTAGATCCTGGAGGAATCACCACACTGTCTTCCACAATCATTGAATTAATTCGCACTCCCACCAACAGTGTAAAAATGTTCCTATTTCTCCACATCCTCTCCAGCATCTGTTTCCTGACTTTTTAATGATCACCATTCTAACTGGTGTGAGATGGTATCTCAATGTGCTTTTGATTTGCATTTCTCTAATGACCAGTGATGATGAGCATTTTTTTCATATGTTTGTTGGCTACATACCTGTTTTCTTTTGAGAAGTGTCTGTTCATATCCTTTGCCCACTTTTTGATGGGGTTGTTTGTTTGTTTCTTGTAAATTTGTTTAAGTTCTTTGTAGACTCTGGATATTAGTTTTGTCAGATGGGTAAACTGCAAAAATGTTCTCCCATTCTGTTGGTTGCCAGTTCACTCTAATGATAGTTTCTTTTGCTGTGCAGAAGTTCTTTAGTTTAATTAGATCCCATTTTTCTATTTTGACTTTTGTTGCCATTGCTTTTGGTGTTTTAGTCATAAAGTCCTTGCCCATGTCTATGTCCTGAGTGGTATTGCCTAGGTTTTTTTCTAGGGTTTTTATGGTGTTAGGTCTTACATTTAAATCTTTAATCCACCTTAAGTTAATTTTTGTATAATGTGTAAGGAAGGGATCCAGTTTCAGCTTTCTGCATATGGTTAGCCAGTTTTCCCAACACCATATATTAAGTAGGGAATCCTTTCCTCGTTGATTGTTTTTGTCAGGTTTGTCAAAGATCAGATTGTAGTAGATGTGTGGCATTATTTCTGAGTCCTCTGTTCTGTTCCATTGGTCTATATCTCTGTTTTGGTACCCGTATCGTACTGTTTTTACTACTGTAGCTTTGAAGTATAGTTTGATGTCAAGTAGAGTGATGCCTCCAGCTTTGTTCTTTTTGCTTAGGATTCTCTTGGCTGTGCAGGCTCTTTTTTGGTTCCATATGAAATTTAAGGTGTCTTTTTCCAATTCTGTTAAGAAAGTCAAAGGTAGCTTGATGGGGATAACATTGAATCTATAAATTACTTTGGGCAGTATGGCCATTTTCATGATATTGATTCTTCCTAACCATGAGCATGGAATGTTTCTCCATCTGTTTGTGACGTCCCTTGAGCAGTGGTTTGTAGTTCTCCTTGAAGAGGTCCTTCATATCCCTTGTTAGTAGCATTCCTAGGTATTTTATTCTCTTTGTAGCAATTGTGAATGGGAGTTCACTCATTATTTGGCTCTTTGTCTGTTATTGGTATATAGGAATGCTTGTGATTTTTGCACATTGATTTTGTATCCTGAGACTTTGCTGAAGTTGCTTATCTACTTAAGGCTATTTTGGGTTGAGATGATGGAGTCTTAATTTTTTAAAAAGAATATTCAGAATGAAACTTCCTAAATGGTTCTGTCTAAAAACAAAGAAAGAATGTTTAGGAATCCACTACTGACTTGAAGATCTTAGGGATATGGATTCTTCCACGTAAAGCTAATAGAGAGTAGAGTTGTTCAGGTCCCCAGCCTAAGTCTTGCCCTACCAGGACCCAGACCATTTTGCCCTGAAATAAGTCCACATGTTGGATTAGACCTTCTTGTTCTCAACTTTTGTTAATATAAAATACTGCTTGTGTTAGCAGAGAAAACACTGAGTGAGTGGAATTGCCCATTCACAAAAAGAGCCACACATTTGGACCATTTTTCCAAACTGTAAAAATAGTTCTTAAGTTGATACTGGAAGACCTTGAGGAAGGACATTTCTTGGAAATGCACCATGCTATAAATGCTGCCGCCTCCACCAATATATCACCAAACCATTTTTCAAGCCCACGTCCTCCGAGAGGCCTTCCCTCTGCTAATTTTGCCCCATTCCAGCTGCCACTGTACTACCCTTAAGTGCTATGCTGCATTTAAGTTTTGATGCCCTTGTCTAGATACGTTTTCCCCACGCTTGATGTCTCAATTAATTATAGACTCAGAATTTTAGAACAGGAAGCAGTCCCAGGGAATCATCTCCACTATTGCCTTCATTTCACATATCAGGAAGGTGAGGCCCAGAGAGAGAAAGGAAGTTGCTTTAGGTCACAGATCATGGTACTAAAAGAGTGGACACCAAAACTAGGTGTTCTTACCTCCAGACAGAGCTATTTCTATGCCTCATGCAACAGTTGACTTATGATTTTGTTCTCCCAGTTAAGGTGCAAATTTCCTATAGGCAAGGCTTGTGTCTAACATAGTAACATTTCATTTAACAGAGGCCTCGATCTTGGCTTCATGACTTACAGTTGTGAGCTAAGACAACAGATTGAATCCTTAACTCTGCCTGCCTAACTAACCTTTTCCTTTACTTTCAAATCTGACTGTGCTGGTTCCCTTTGAGACCTCACTGGCCTTCCTGAAGTCACTGCCCTTCCTCCGGGTCTCAGTTTCCTTCTCTATCAAATGAGATAATTGGACTGAATGTGTCTAGGATCCCTCTAAGCTCTGAAAGTTATAGAATTCTCTATCCTACAGGTAGATCCTTTGCTGCCTTCAGGATGTGCCTCACTGTCCATCCCACTGCTCCATCCAGTGAACCCATAGCTAGAGACGTCTCAAAAGTAGAGGCAGAGAAGTTCCCACGAGATAGTGCCCCAACTATCCCAAGAAGGGGCTGGTTGGGATTGCAAAGAAAGAAGCACTAAAAACCAGGTTGATCAGTCCAAAGCATTTATTAGGGGAATTTACAGAGTGCTGTAGCAATTCTCGTGCAGACAGCAAGAGAAAGGGATGTTCTACCTAGGTATCTTTGCAGCAAAGTGCCCAGAGTATGGAGTTTATATGGAGATTTAAGGAGTTTGGCTCAAGGCTAGGGCTAAGGCAAGTTTCTTTACCGTTTTGGGAAGCAACCTACACACCTTTTTCCTGAGAATGTTCAGGGTTCCAGCGTGGACTCCAGGCTACAGAATTGCAAATGACTGTGTTGGCCACAGAGTGGTCAAGGCCTGTATTTCTAGATCAGGACACACAAAAAGTGGGAAATTGGGAGATCTTTTACCCATAGATCTGCCTTGTTCATTTCCCTGGATTCTGCTGTGGAATAAGTTCCTTAAGGACCCAGATAGCATAGTGTCATGCAGCAAGGCCAGGCACGGAGTCCGAAGGCTCAGGTTCCAGTCTTTCCGTCTTGCCTCTGTGATTTAGTGTCTTTGCCTTCCACAGGTCACTTCATTTCTCTCAGCCACCTATTAAAAAAATAATAAGAATAAGAATAACAATATGTGCTTGTCAGATTTGTTGAGGGTGAAATGAGGTAAATGTTGTGGAAATACATGGCATGAAGAAGGCATTCAGCATATAGTTGCTTCTGTGCTTCATTCCACATCCAGCATTATTGAGAAATGAGCTATTCCAAATAAACTTACATTCCAGATAACAGGTTTACCAACAGGAGCTATAAAACAGTGCCTGACTTTTGATTAAAATCTTTCTGAAATTGATTCTGTATTTTCTTGACCTGTCACATGGAGCATGTACCAAACGTATTAGGAGGAGTTAGAGAAAGTAACATCCCTGCAAAGGGGGGCATGACCGACAGCTTGTCTCAGGATACAAGTAGTGCAGATAGAATAGGAAAGAAAACTTTTTTTTTTGAGACATAGTCTCACTCTGTTGCCTAGGCTGCAGTGCACTAGAACAATCTTGGCTCACTGCAACCTCCATTTCTCAGGTTCAAGTGATTCCCCCACCTCAGCCTCCTGAGTAGCTGGGATTACAGGTGTGTGCCACTATGCCAGGTTAATTTTTGTATTTTTAGTAGAGATGGGGTTTCACCATGTTGGCCAGGCTGGTCTCAAACCCCTGACCTCAGCCTCCCAATGTGCTGGGATTATAGGCGTGAACCACCACACCCAGCCAGAAAAAAAAAACTCCATGCTTCTGCAAAGAGCTTGAATTTTTTTCATCTCAGCAAATGGGGAGCCCTTGAAGAGTTTTAAGAAGGAGAGTGACAGGATCAGATTTGTTTCAAAGAAATCACTTAGGCTGTTGGGTGATGAACACATCTGGGTGGAGAACAAGAGGGAAGGCTGAAAGGCCTGCAGCGGGCTGGTGTAATGGCTCCAGTGAGAGATGATGGGGACTGACATGGATATATGAAAAATCAGAGGTGGGAAAAGACAGACTGGTAAATGCCCAGTAGCTTCATGTAAAAATAAAGTAATGGAATATCAGCTCATTCTGAGAAAAGCATAAAATACAAAAAGTATAAAGAAGACTGTAAGATCACCCAATAACACACCACCCAAAGAAAACCACTGTTAACAGGTTGAACTGTTTTCTCTCAGTGTTTTTAGCTGAAGAATCTCTAATGTGTTTGTAGATACAAATTTGATTTATCAAAATTTGCTTCAAGCAGGCACTTTCCAGAACACATCTCCTAATGTCAATTGAGCTGTGCTTCCATGAGAGTAAAGATAACAGAATTTTAACTCCATTCATTCCTTTCAGTGATGGGACCACAAGACCTCAAATACGTGGGTCGTGGTTAACCTAGGCTTGATTCCAGGGCTCTGTTTGGGGAAGGCCATTTATGTCTTCAACTCTCCTTCTCTTTTCTCCCTGCAGAATCAGTGGATAACTGCCCCAGCAACTGCTATGGCAACGGCGACTGCATCTCTGGGACCTGCCACTGCTTCCTGGGTTTCCTGGGCCCTGACTGCGGCAGAGGTGAGAACTCTGCATTGGGGCTCTGAATTTCTGCTTCCCAGACACCTCTGGCAGCTCACTTCCACTTCTCAGAGCAAGCACAGAACCCTAGCCCATCTCTGATGCCCAGGAGAAAGGTTTCCAAGGGCCATTCTCCAGAAGCCCTTGGAGAGAGGTGTGCAGGCAGAGCCATGACCTTGTCAGCTGCTGTTATCCACATGTGGGTGATTGGGGAAGTCAAGAAGGGAGGGTGAATTCACAGTGGGGTGGCCACAGTGAAGTCAGTGTCTGTTGCTGGGGCAGGTGGAGCGGCAGTGGGGGTTCTTTTAAAAGGTTGATTTCCTCTTACAGGAGTGATTATCCCTAGCCATGCGTCTTTGAAGTTTATCTTCATACTAGTGTGATGTCTCTCTGGCCTTTAGATGGGGAGCCTGAGGACTGCTCCTTTGTACCTTCTAACAGCACAGGCAGAATCGGCCAAGACACCAGGGGAGGGACCTAAGAAACCAGGCCACTTTTTTCCACACAGGACCCTAGTTGTGCCTGACATTTAGGCACAGCCAGTGCCCATTATATTGTGGAGATAGTCTGAAGGCTGCCTATGGTCTACTCCATGCTTTTGGCCATCATTTCTGTCCTGGCATAATTAACAAGGAAAATGCCAAGGAGATCTGTAGTCCTGAGAATCTGGCACTCTGCTGGGAAACTAACATGGCCCCTTCTTTTGTTTTTTTACCTTTTCCCTTATTCAATAACCATTTGCTTCATGCCCTTTTAGGGATTGGTCCTGTGCTGGGCAAGACACAATCCTGGGAGCTCTGAGTCTGGTCTCAGAGACAGACAAGTAAATAGACAACTGCAAAGCAGTACGATAATAAGTGAAATACACTGTAACACGGTTAAATGCAGGAAGCTTCCATCAGAGTAGAAGGGAGAAGCAGTCTGAGAGTAGAAGGGATGAATTTCAGGAAAGGTTTCCCAAATGAGGTGACATTACACCCGAGTCCTGAGGCTGGAAAAATTGTTCGTAAGTAGAAGGCAGAGATGGCTTTCCAGGCTGAGTGAACAACACCCTGCAAGTACTGTGCCGTGAGAATCTGTTTACTCTTCCTAATGTGAGATAGACTCAGTTTGAGGCAGCAAAACTAGCAGCCCCAAGGAAACACAGTGATTACCTGCTGAGTTCCTTAAAAAGGAAAGAAGCCAGGTGGGGGCCAGGGAAGGTGGTGCAGAGAGAGATGAGTCATTTCTTCTAACAAGAATTACGGTCTCATCCACATGCACTTAAAGTTAAGAGTCATGTATAAAAAAGCCTTATTGGATCTTGATAAGACTGGTAAGTACTTACAGCACAATGCAGTATAATTTATTTTTATATAGTATCTTTTGTAGAGAAGATCACAAAACCCTTACGCTAAGAGGCAGAATGAAAAGATAATACTTTAAAGAGCCAATGTGGGCTCTGCTCTGCTCTTAAGGGGCAGGGGTGTATGGGGCTGGAGTGGAGGCCTGAAAGGCAAGGGAAGCTGAGATTTGCTGGGATAAAGAGGACAGTAAGTGGCGCTGCAGATGAGAGGTGGGGAAGTGAAAGTGGAGTGTTATCAGAGGAGAGCACTGGAGGAGGGATTCAGGGCAATCAAGGGGTCCAGCCACTGTCTTTTTTAGTGAGACATGGAACAGACTGAAGCTTCCTGCCTGAGGTTCCTGGCAGCCACTGTACCCATCAGCAATATGAAGGGGAGGGGATTAAAGGGATACCTACCTTGCCAGACCCTGCACTGTGCACCGTCACCTACAAATCTAGATGTGTTTAAACTGGAAAGAAAGAAAGCAAGAGAGGCAGACAGATGGGCACACATGGGTGTTTGTGGCAATGCAATTGAGGTTACTGGGCAAGCCAGGCAGGCCAAGAGAAGGAAGGGACAATGGCAACTGGGGTGTACTGGACACTGATTCATGCCAGACTTCTGGTGCTGTCTCCCCAGCCTCCTGCCCTGTGCTCTGTAGTGGGAATGGCCAATACATGAAGGGCAGATGCCTGTGCCACAGTGGCTGGAAAGGCGCCGAGTGCGACGTGCCCACCAACCAGTGTATCGATGTGGCCTGCAGCAACCATGGCACCTGCATCATGGGCACCTGCATCTGCAACCCTGGCTACAAGGGCGAGAGCTGTGAGGAAGGTAAGACTTGCAGGTGGCAGCTCTGGCACCTTCTTCTGAGATAGAGGCTGGCACATAGTGCCAAGCAGGTGACCAGGGAGCAGGGGGAGCTTCCTGAGCCATTCTGCATCCTCTTCCTCGCCAAGCCAGAAGTCCATCCACCAGCAACAGTAACTAATCTAAAGGAGGAGGCCAAATACATCCGCGTCTTGGTCAGTAAAGGGGTGAACTGTCATGTACTGAGCACTTACCATATACAAGGCTGTGCTAGAAGCCTGTGTCATGTAATTCAAACCTTATTAGGGAGGAGTAATCATCTCTACTTTATAGTTAGGGAATCTACGACACAGACGGTTGAATAACTTTCCCAAGGATACATGGCTAGTAGATGGCAGAGCTGGGTTTGAGCCCAGTCTTTCTGGCTCCGTAGCCCAAGTTCTTTTCACTCCCCTCTAGGCTCATCTGCTTATTTTTTATTTCCATTTCTGAAGTGTGATTCTATTATAGGCCTCCAAACTCTGCCCTCTTTTATCACACTCTGTATGTGTGTGTGTGTGCGTGCGTGTGCATGTGTATGGCTCTGCAGTGCCCATGAGCATGCCTCTCTCCTTTATAAAGTAAATAAATGGCTGTGTAGACCAAGGCTAGCAAAGGGAACTGTTGATTTCACATTGACATTCGTTCTTTCCTAGAAAATCCAACCAGGTAAAATAAATGAATATTTCTATTTCACAAATAAAGAAACTGAGGCCCAGGGAAGGGCAGCAACTTGCCCACGGTCTTTGAACTGACCGATGGCAGAATTGGGATTCAGCTCAGGTCTCACTTCAAATCCAGTGCTTTTCCTTCTTGACAGTGTGGTGTTTCCAGCTGAGAGGAAGAGCCTTATTCACAAGCCGTATAAAGTAGCTGTTAAAAGTGCACACTCTGGAATCAGATACAGGTCTGCATCCTGGCCTGCCACTAACTAGCCTCAGTTCCCTTGTCTATAAAATGGGAATGCCTTCCTCTGAGGGCTATTGGGAGGATTGAATTAAATGACCCATGTAAAGCACTTAGCTCAGTGTCTGACACATAATAAACGCTCCATAAATGTGAGCTCTTACATTATTAGTATTATTCTGGGGACAATTGAAGCACATTTCCTGTTTCACCCCACTCCCTTCATCCAAGGTCTTTTGAAATGGTTGGAATTTGCCGTTTGAGACTGATGGAGGATGCTGTGCGCCTGTCGTCACCTCCCATTTTCTGCTGTCTAGCACCCTGGTACCTTCCCCAGGGGGTGGAAGAGGCTCCAAGGAGAGCTGATCTTCTAAACTATCAACTGTTTAACAGAGAGCCCCCTCCCAGGCATCATTCGCTCTAAAAATAAAACAGAATGTTAACAGGCTCGTTTACAAGAGTGGAGAAGAAGAGATTAGTGTCTGAAAAGCATTGCCTCTCTGAGGCAAGCTGTATGTAAACCCCAAGCGTGGCTGGGAGTCCTGATTCAGACCTGTTAACTTTGATGGGGATGATTTTGTGCTATCTGAGAGAGAAGGAACGCCAACCCCTGGAACAAAGGAACTTAGTCTTCTTATCCAGAGAATGGTGACCTTCATCTGCTGTCCCTTTTTATTTGAGTCACTTGAGGTGAAAGACCCTGTGAAGGAATGGGAAACAAAGAAGAGATTCCTCTTGAAACTGTGAGCTGCCCCCAATCCCACCCATGTTGTGTGGGCCAGGGAAGGACAGTGATCCTTCCCCAGATGAGCTAGCATCGCACAGTGCCCCAGAGCTGCAGCGTTAGTTATAAGAGAGAAAAAAATGTTTGGAACTTTGATTTACGTTATCTATTTGAAAAGAAGTGTTCTTACTCCTGCTTTCTTTTCTGAGGAGGGCCATCTGGCACTGATTCCTGTTATTATTTTTGTTCCTCTGGTGAAGCGTCACTGCATGGTCCTTGCGTTTATAACGGTGTTTTCTCGGGGCCTTTGTCCTCCACCCTTCTCCTCCCCTCCTCCTTATGCTCTGTGCTCACGGGTTTCACTGTGTTTATAAAACATCAGCTAACTAGCTCACTTTTTTTCTCCCCCTTCCTTTTTCTGAAGTTTATTGCCCTGTATTTTTTAAAGCTTGAACGGTGCCAGTAGGACGCTTAGAGGAAGTTGGGGGAGGAGCAGAAAAGTAAAAACCTAGACCTTTCACAGTGAAAAGTGAGACACTTTTTGGTCCTGCAGAGTGTCTAATAGCTTGTGTGGTCACTGAAGTGTGGAACGTATGGGGGAAAGGCCTGTGTTTGCAGCCGGGTCATGCAGCCCTCATCATTTTGTTAATGAGCTACACTTCTGCCAGAAATTTTGGCTTGAATGGCAAGCTCTGCAAGGGGAAAAAAGGTAACTGTTTGGCACATCTCTAAGAGGAGACTAAGTTAAACTGTCTTCCAGACCAAGGCCAGCCCACCTCGCTGACCATTGCTCCTACTCCTTCATCACAGCTCCCTTCCACCGCAGGCCGGTCGCTTCTCCACACTTTACACACAGCTCCTTGGGAAACCACTGTTGCTCCTGAAGCTGTCCCAGAGTGATGGAAAGAAGCCAACGTTAATCTCCACCCCAGAGGATCCAGAAAGCAAGGGCAGAGGCAGAGTGTACCCTAGTACCTCTTTGGCAGAGCATCATTGCGGCATAGATCCTGGCCTTGTAGGATCAGTAGAGCACAGGGGCAATATCTACCCACCCCCAGCAGGGACCTCAGCCAGTTCAGCCTAGATTTCCGGGAGCTGCCTTCACTCCTGAGATGTAGTCTTCCTCAAAACTTCCCTCCTGCTCCACACTCACGTGGCCCAGCTGACCTTCAGAACCAGAGATTAATTGCTTGGAGGTAGCCTCTCATCAGTTTTTTCTGATCTTTGTTCTCTGCCTGGACTATCTGCTGAGAGCATAGGATTCACTTTGCTGGTTCCTGAGTCCTTCCTTAGCCTCATTACATCTACGAAAGCACAGGACTGTACCACCCAGAGCCTCTTGCTGAACTTGGCAGCCTCCCGGCCTGCTTGCTAATGATAGAGATTTATGGCTTCGACCTCAAGGGTGCCCTGGGATTCTCAGAGACAGTTTCAACCCAATGTTGAGGTTCAGGCACTTACAGAAAAGGAAATACCTTTATAGGCCTCAGGATAGGAATCGCTGAGTTGTTTCCTGTAAAATTGGAAAGTTCTCTGGGTCTAGGGGATTGTCATAGAAGCCTAATGGGCCAGAATAATCCTGAGGTTCTAAGATCTGAGGCAGGCCATGAGAATTTATCACTATTATTACTTTTATTATTTTTAATTATCAGGAATTCCTACAGGTCATGCTCTAACCATTTTTGAATGGTGTCCAGAGACTGCAGGAGAAGAGATTCTTGGCCTTCATTTGACTTCATTAATCCTCCACATTGCTCTATTTCTTTCTTGTTTTGATTTGATTTCTATTTTTAAGGCATTTTCTGTGTGTGTGTTTATGTAAGTATATATGCATTCATGTATTTCTGAACTAGTAAGATTATAAGGGGAAATGACCAGAGACCTAAACCAGGAAAGAGTGATTCACATTTATTTTTCTATTTGTCATACTCCTGTGTGATCTTGGGCAAATTATTTAACCTCTCTGTGCTTTCTGTTTCTTCATCGGTCAAATGAGGATGACAAAAGTAGCTACCTCATACTTACATTTTCGGATTAAATGAGATAATGTCTATAAAATGCTTAATAGCAAAATATGGCACAGAAGAGGAACTAAATTAATGCTCATTGTGTTGGTCGTTACTGTGTTTTTAGCAAACGATCACTCCTGAACCCTGACGGTCTTATTTATCATTTAGGTGATTGGGTTGAACATCTTTAAGACCCTAAATAGCCAAAGAACTTTCTTAATAAGCTAGTACTCAATATAAATGTTCCCATAATATTGCCATTTGTAGTTTTTCCCCATTTGTGTCTATTATACCCAGCCTGGGTTTCCCAGTCTTTTATGCGAAAGTCAAGTATACTGGGTTATAAAATATAATTAATAAATAAATTTAAAGGATGTCTGGATTATAATTGAGCTCTGACCACAGTTTGCCCAAAGCCATGCTACCAAATGTCCTGATAGTATGGAAAAAAAAATAACTTTTTCGCAACAATTCATATAGTCTTTTCAAATCATCATGTCATTTGCTCCTCATAGCAACCTGAGAAGTCAGTGGTCAGTATCTTTACCATACCTGCTTTATAGATGGGAAGCTCAGAGCAGATATGTAATTGGACCATGGACCTAGGGCCCTAGGTCCTCAGGCCAAATGAGAGCTTTTTCTTCTATAGCATAGGACTCCCTCGTGAGTTCCTGTTAGGAGGGCCCTGACCATACCCATCACGGCACCATCTATCTGTACACTTTCTCCAACGTGTTGCCCCTCCTCCCCAGGATACCACCATGCCTTCACAATTACAAAAGGAATAGCATCCCTACCTCCCTAAAGAGAAAGACAGACCTAACAACTTTTTGGTAGAGAAAGAAAATGAATCAACCTCCTTGACCAATCCTGTTGTCTCTCTGCCACCTGTTGCACTTTCCATATGAACTGGAGCCACTTCACTTAATTCTCAGTATTCCTCTCCTTTTCCATGCAGTGCTTTACAGAAGATTAGAGGTCTCTGTTAATTTTGTGTACCCCCATAACTAAAGCTTTGATTTGAGAAAGTCAGCCCCTGATAGAAATATTGGCCTCAGCATCAGACAGATCTGTCTTGAGATTCTTCTCTGGATGTGGAGTAGTTGGAATCCTTGTGCACTGCTGGTGGAAATGTAGAATGGTAGCACTACTATGGAAAACAGTGTGATCGCTCCTCAAAAAATCAAAAATAGAATTTACCATATGATCCAGCAATTTCATTTCTGGGCATATACTCAAATGAATTGAAAGAGAGTTTCAAAGAGATGTTTGTACACCTGTGTGCATAGCAACCCTATTCATAATAGCCAAAAGGTGGAAGCAACCTGAGTTTCTATCCATGTATGAATGGATAAACAAAATGAGGTATAAACACACAATGGAATAGTATTCAGCCTTCAAAAGGAAGGAAATTCTGGCCATGCCGCAACATGGGTGAACCGTGAAGACATTATGCCAAGTGAAATAAGCCATCACAAAATGATAAATACTGGATGATTTCCCTTACATTAGGTACCTAGAATAGTCAAATTCATAGAGATAGAAAATAGAATGGTGGTTGTCAGGGCTGACGGAAAGGGGAAATAGGAGTTATTTAATGGGTGCAGAGTTTCAGTTTTGCAAGATGAAATGAGTTTTGGAGACTGACAGCGGTGATGGTTGCCCAACACCACCCCCATCCTCAACAGCACTGGCTTGTACACTTAACAGTGGCTAAGATGGTAAATTTTAGGTTATGTTTATTTTACCACGATTTTAGAAATCAGGAAAAGAATTCCTCTCTGGCAGAGTTTAGCTGTGTGATCTGTCATAAATTATTTACCTCTCAGAGCCTCAGTTTCCTCATCTGTATCTCACTGGGTTACTGAGAAAACTGAATCTGACAGTGTATATAAAGTGCTTAGAGTGTAAGCACAGAGCAGATAACCCACAGTGTTACTCTCCTTTTCCTCTTTTTGGGTTGTCTCTTGAGACCACTTTGACCTTGGGTTCTAGGAGCATTAAAGGGCTGCCTGGCTGTGAGCCGCCACTATGTAGCTCACCTATCGCATAAAGAGAAGCTGTGCAAAGTCAGCACATATTGAAATGTTTGCCCTCATGAAAGTGAAGTTTTTTGTTGTCGTTTTGGTCATTTGTCTTTCAGAGACAGTCTCAGTCAGTTACCCAGGTTGGAGTGTAGTGGCACAGTCATAGCTCACTGCAGCTTCGACCTCCTAGGCTCAAGCAATTCTCCTGACTCAGTCTCTCAAGTTGCTGGGACTACAGGTGTGTCTCACCATGCCTAGCTAACTTTTTAAATTTTTTGTAGAGAGAGGATCTTACTCTGTTGCCCAGGCTCGTCTCAAACTCCTGGCCTCAAGTGATCCTCCCCCCGCCCCAGCCTCCCAAAGTGCTGGGATTACAGGTGTGAGTCACCATGCCTGGCCAGGAAGGTGAAGCTGAAAGTTTGTATCAATACCAAGAATTTGGAGAAGATGATAAAATCTAATGGAATATAATTACAAAATAAATTCTCATCTAAATCAAGGAATCTATTTTAGTCTCATGCTCACATAATAAACCTGCATTATGAAGTGATAATAAAAGTTTATTCTCTGAAGACTTATTGAACTCCTCCTGTGTACCAGGCACTGTTCTAGGAGGTAGAGATTTACAAGTGAATGAGAGTCCAGTAGGTACAAAGTGCTGTGCTGATGCTTGAGACAAATTTCTTACTCTGTCTGCCCCACAAATGAAGAGTTAGGGATTTCTACCTGGGTGGAGTTGGGAACCCAGGTCTGCCATTTGCTACAGTACCATACCAAGTGGCCTCTGCATCCTTCTACCAGAATGTGTGAAGCCTCTTGGCCGCAAAGCTAAGTAGTTTGCTTAAAGGACCCTCACGTTTGCTGGTCAGATGCTTACCTATGTTCTCTTTCCTCCATCTCACAGTGGACTGCATGGACCCCACGTGTTCAGGCCGGGGCGTCTGCGTGAGAGGTGAATGCCACTGCTCTGTGGGATGGGGAGGCACCAACTGTGAGACCCCCAGAGCCACATGCTTAGACCAGTGTTCAGGCCATGGAACCTTCCTCCCAGACTCTGGGCTTTGCAGCTGTGATCCAAGCTGGACTGGACACGACTGTTCTATTGGTAAATGCACGGGGAGGAAGGCTGGGTGGAGGGGGAGTTGGGGTGAGGAGGAATGAGGAGTGGGGTGTGAGGGGTGGGGGGTAGGGGGTGGGGAAAAGCAGCATGGGCAGAGGGAGGGGATTTCTACTGTGACATGGTCACCATTCAGTCCTGCTCAGGGACGTGACTTTTCTCAATCATGTAGCAATGCATTTCCCATGCCTCTGAGTGCTTTTGTTCTTTCTCTGAACTCTAGCCTTCAATACTTTTACTCTGGTAGAGATAGGATTCAAAAATTACATCCTTACATCATTCCTTCCATAGTAGTGTTCTTGAGATTCAAAACTACCCCTCAACAATGGTACTTATAATTATAGATATGTGCCACTGAAATCTCATCTCATGTTAAGATGTTATCCCTGGAGGCGAGGCCATAGGGAAAGTTTTCCTAGTTAAGCTCTGTAGGGGTGGGCTTTACAGGATGCATGTCCCTGCCATCAGACCCTTTGGTTGCACCTGCTTCTCAGAAAGAAGTCGAAACTGGGTGTAGTGTTTAGGGTTCTTTGGGATCCGGCTCCCGCCTGCCCTTCTAGCCAAACACTCTGTTAGTTGCTAAGCTCCATGAGGGTAGCAAACATGTCTTATTCAGCCTGCAGCCCCAGGACTCAGCATGGCCTTACCCACAGCACCTACTCAATAAATAGTGATGAATGAATGAATGAGCACATGATTGACTGTGTTCTTGATTGTGACATTTGGTTCACCACAGGGTTTGTACATATAAAGTACAAAGGATAATTATGTTGGCACCCTTCTGTTTGAAAACACTGTGATTTATAGATCCTTTCCAAGTGAGGATTAAATAGGAGCATATGTGAGTCACTAGCACGGTATTGGTGTATAACGGGTTACATTCACATCTAATCTCTTATTGAATCTGTGCAAATCCCTATGAGAAAGGTGTCAGTTATCCATGTTTTACCAATTTGCATAATACTTTAATCACTGGATACTTACTGTACACCTACAATATACCAGACACTCTTCTAATTAGACAGGATGAAGAGACGAAAGAGTCCCTGCCTTTGCAGAGTGTGCATTCTGGGAAAGATGGGGGGGGCAACAATGAGAGAATGAAGATAAGTAAAATAATAAAGAACCTAAGGTTCAAAAAAAATTTAAGTAATCCTGCCCGGGGACAAAAAGCTAAAAAGTGATAGCCTCTCCAGCTATGCTTTTTTATACTAAATCATTTTCCTCGGCACTCCACGCTGTTTAAACAAAGTGAGGCTCAGATTAGCTCATTTTGTTGTATATTAACAGTTCTGGTGGTGATCGAGAAAGATAGTTGAGACCTTTGGCAAAAATGAGATCCATGCATCATTCATGCCTTTGGAATACTTTGAATTACCTTTCCCTGTTGAATGGAGAATCGATGTTCAATACACAGTATAAACTGGACTGTTATCCTTGTTTGCAAAGCTCATGTAAAGACATGATTGTAAGCACAGATGTGCAGGGTCTCAGGAATAATTCTTTTTATATAGCTCTGTTTATAGCGATATAATAAATGGTTCTCTTAAAGCTACACTGGCTTGCATTGTTCATTATGTGGCCACAAAGCTAATTTATGATAGGCATATAACTGTGTCTTGCACTGTTAATTCCTGATGAAACCCCACAGCCTCTGAGGACGTAGGTATAACTTTGGATGAGATTACTAAGTATTCTTTAGTTAGCCCTGTAAATGGAAACAACAGAACTATCAAAAGGGACTTTGAATAGAATTATGAGCTCTCCTCTCCTCAGTCCTGGCTGCACCACTCCCCATAACTGCTATCAAACATGTATCTGTCCTCACGTGCAAAGGCAAGAGAGAACCATGTGATGAGAAAAGTCCCTGAGACAGACTTTCTTCAGACAGACTTGGGTTCAAATCTTGGCTCTACTACTTACTAATTATAATTTTCGGCAAGTTACTTCACCCTTTGAAGCTATAAAATGGAAATAATGATAGTACCTACCTTCTGGAGTCATAGTGAGAATTATTTAAGAAAATGAAAAAGTCTCAGACCACAGTGCAATCAAACTAGAACTGAGAATTCAGAAACTAACTCAGAACCACTCAACTTCATGGAAACTGAACAACTGTCTCTTGAATATTGACTGGATAAACAATGAAATGAAGGCAGAAATAAAGATGTTCTTAGAAACTAACAAGAACCAAGACACAACATACCAGAATCTCTGGGACACATTTAAAGTAGTGTTTAGAGGAAAATTTATAGCAATAAATGCCTACATGAGAAGAAAGGAAAGATCTAAAATTGACACCCTATCATCAAAATTGAAAGTGCTAGAGGAGCAAGATCAAAAAAACTAAAAACCTCTCAGAGGACAAGAAATAACTAAGATCAGAGCAGAACTGAAAGAGATAGAGACACAAACAGCCCTTCAAGAAATCAGTAAATCCAGGATCTGGTTTTCTGAAAAGATCAACAAAATAGACCACTAGCCAGATTAATAAAAAAGAAAAGAAAGAATAATCAAACAGATGAAATAAAAAACAATAAAGGAGATATCACCACAGATTCCACAGAAATACAAACCGCCATTAGAGATTACTACAAACAGCTCTATGCACATAAACCAGTAATCCTGGAAGAAATGGATAAATTCCTGGACACTTGCATCCTCCCAAGCTTAAACCAGGAAGAAGTTGAAACCCTAAATAGATCAGTAACAAGGTCTGAAGTTGAGGCAGCAGTTAATTGCCTACCAACCAAAAACAGCCCAGCTCCAGATGGGTTCATAGCCAAATTCTACCAGACATACAAAGAGGAGCTGGTACCACTTCTTCTGAAACTATTTCAAACAATCCAAAAAGAGAATCCTCCCCAAATCATTTTATGAGACCAACATCCCATTACCAAAACCAGGCAGAGACTCAACAAGAAAAGAAAACTTCAGGCCAATATCCATGATGAACATAGATGCAAAAATCTTCAATAAAATACTGGCTAACTGATTGCAACAGCACATCAAAAAGCTTATCCATCACAAACAAGTAGGTTTCATCCTGGGGATGCAAGGCTGGTTCAACATACACAAGTCTATAAATGTAATTCACCACATAAACAGAACCAAAGACAAAAACCATGTGATTATCTCAATTGATGCAGAGAAGGCCTTTGACAAAATTCAGCAGCCCTTTATACTAAAAACCCTCAATAATCTAGGTATTGACGGAGCATATCTCAAAATAATAAAAGCTATTTACAACAAACCCACAGCCAATATCATACTGAATGGGCAAAAACTGGAAGCATTCCCTTTGAATTCTGGCACTAGACAAGGATGCCCTCTCTCACCACTCTTATTCAATATAGTATTGGAAGTTCTAGCCAGAGCAGTTAGACAAAAAAAAGAAATAAAGGGTATTCAGTTAGGAAAGGAGGAAGCCATCTCTATTTGCAGATGACATGATTGTGTGTTTAAAAGACCCTATCGTCTCAGCCCAAAATCTCCTTAAACTGATAAGCAACTTCAGCAAAGTCTCAGGATACAAAATCAGTGTGCAGAAATCACAAGCATTCCTATACACCAATAACAGAGAGCCAAAGCATGAGCAAACTCCCATTTGCAATTGCTGCAAGAAGAATAACATACCTAGGAATACAACTAACAAAGGAGGTAAAGGACCTCTTCAAGGAGAACTACAAACCACTGCTCAAGGAAATAAGAGAGGACATAAACAGATGGAGAAACATTCCATGCTCATGGTTAGGAAGAATCAATATTGTGAAAATGGCTGTACTGCCCTAAGTAATTTATAGATTCAATGCTATCCCCATCAAGCTACCAATGACCTTCTTCACAGAACTGGAAAAAAACACCTTAAACTTGATATGGAACCAAAAGAGAGCCCACATAGCCAAGTCAATTCTAAGCAAAAAGAACAAAGCTGGAGGCATCACGCTACCTGACTTCAAACAATACCATAAGGCTACAGTAATCAAAACAGCATGGTACTGGTACCAAAACAGAGATATAGACCAAAGGAACAGAACAGAGGCCTCGGAGGAAATGCCACACATCTACAACCATCTGATCTTTGACAAACCTGACAAAAACAAGCAATGGGGAAAGGAGCCCCTGTTTAATAAATGGTGTTGGGAAAACTGGCTAGCCATGTGCAGGAAGCAGAAACTGGACCCCTTCCTGACACCTTACACTAAAATTAACTCTAGACGGATTAAAGACTTAAACATAAGACCTAACACCATAAAAACCCTAGAAGAAAACCTAGGCAAAACCATTCAGGATATAGTCATAGGCAAGGACTTCATGACCAAAACACCGAAAGCATTGGCAGCAAAAGCCAAAATAGACAAATGGGATCTAATTAATCTCCAGAGCCTTCTGCACATCAAAAGAAACAATTGGTAGAGTGAACCGGCAACCAACAGAATGGGAAAAAATTTTTGCAATCTACCCATGTGACAAAGGGCTAATATCCAGAATCTACAAAGAACTAAAACAGATTTACAAGAAAAAAACAAACCCATTCAAAAGTGGGCAAAGGATATGAACAGACACTTTACAAAAGAAGACAAAAATGAGGCTAACAAACATATGAAAAAATGCTCATCATCACTGGTCATTAGAGAAATGCAAATCAAAACCACATTGAGATACCATCTCACACCAGTTAGAATGGTAATCATTAAAAAAATCTGGACACAACAGATGCTGGAGAGGATGTGGAGAAATAGGAACACTTTTACACTGCTGGTGACAGTGTAAATTAGTTCAACCTTTGTGGAAGACAGTGTGGCGATTCCTCAAGGACCTGGAAATAGAAATTCCATTTGACTCAGCAATCCCATTACTGGGTATATATCCAAAGGATTATAAATCGTTCTGTTATAAGGACACATGCACACACATGTTCATTGCAGCACTGTTTACAATAGCAAAGTCTTGGAACCAACCCAAATGCCCATCAATGATAGACTGGA